ATTCTAGCTGACACGGGAAGCCAATGCAACGTTCTTAGCATGGGAGTAATGTGGTCCCTCTTCTTTTTCTTTAGTACAAGCCTAGCCAAGCCTACAATAGAGAGGATGACATGACAGGTGACAATAGAGAGGATGACATGACAGGTGACAATAGAGAGGATGAAATGACAGGTGAAGGTGACAATAGACAGGATGAAATGACAGGTGACAATAGACAGGATGACATGACAGGTGACAATAGACAGGATGAAATGACAAGTGACGGTGACAAGATGTCGCGACGAGGCCGGCCGCTCGGTGGCGACTTACCGGACGATGTGGTGTTGGTGGAAGCGGGCAGGTGAGCGTGCACGGGCACAGAGACACAGGAGAAGTCCGACACACTCACAGTCTCAGCACCTGTGTGGAGGGGGGAGTAGAGACAGGCTCGGCTTAGTTTTAGTAAGGGTTTTTTAGTTTAGTAAGTGTTGTTTTTAGTAAGTGTTTTTTTTAGTTTTAGTAAGTGTTTTTTAGTTTTAGAAAGAGTTTTTTAGTTTTAGTGTTTTTTAGTTTAGTAAGTGTTTTTTAGTCTTAGTAAGTGTTTTTTAGTTTTAGTAAAAGTGTTTTTACAGTGTTTTTTTCAGTTCAGTTAGAGTTTTTTAGTTTTTTAAAGTGTTTTTTAGTTTAGCAAGGGTTTTTTAGTTTAGTTAGTGTTTTTTAGTTTTAGTAAAAGTGTTTTTTAGTTTAGTAAAAGTTTTTTTATTTCAGTAAGTGTTTTTTAGTTTTAGTAAGTGTTTCTTTTTAGTTTGTTAAAGTGTTTTTTAGTTTTAGTAACAGTGTTTTTTAGTTTAGTAAGAGGTTTTTAGTTCAGTAAATGTTTTTTAGTTTTAGTAAGCGTTTAACGGCACTTGCAACACAATAAGGTCATAATATAAGTGCCGAAGATTAGAGGAGTTACAAGAGAGGAACAAACACAAAAAAGAAGGAGGAGGAGAAAAGGACAACAGATGTTTGATAGGAAAGAAGGAGCAAACCACACCAGAGCACCCGCCAACAACCCACTTTCCAACAGTAGAATCAGAAGAAAAACAATTGATCTCTCCATTGCCGGGCACACAACACGGAGTGAACAAACAAACAAACAAACAAACAAACAAACAAACAAACCAACCAACAATCTCTCATTACCGGGCACACAGCACGGAGTGAACAAACAAACAAACAAACTAACAAACCAACAAACACACCAACAATGTGTCATTGCCGGGCACACAGCACGGAGTGAACAAACAAACCAACAAACACACCAACAATGTGTCATTGCCGGGCACACAGCACGGAGTGAACAAACAAACCAACAAACACACCAACAATGTGTCATTGTCGGGCACACAGCACGGAGTGAACAAACAAACCAACAAACACACCAACAATGTGTCATTGCCGGGCACACAGCACGGAGTGAACAAACAAACCAACAAACCAACAAACACACCAACAATGTGTCATTGTCGGGCACACAGCACGGAGTGAACAAACAAACCAACAAACACACCAACAATGTGTCATTACCGGGCACACAGCACGGAGTGAACAAACAAACCAACAAACCAACAAACCAACAAACACACCAACAATGTGTCATTGCCGGGCACACAGCACGGAGTGAACAAACAAACCAACAAACACACCAACAATGTGTCATTGCCGGGCACACAGCACTGAACAAACAAACCAACAAACACACCAACAATGTGTCATTGCCGGGCACACAGCACGGAGTGAACAAACAAACCAACAAACCAACAAACACACCAACAATGTGTCATTACCGGGCACACGGTCGGGCACCTGTTCCACCGAGGGCAGTAAGGCCGGCTCCTGGCTCTGGACAAAGAAGAGCACCAGCCAGGTGAGGGAGTAGCTGGTCAGCAGATGGCCGAACTGCGCGGTGGCCGCCAGGTTCTGTCGCTGCGCCCACAGCCGGACGGTGGTCACGAGGGCGTGTACGCGGGGCTCTTGGCTGTACAGGCGCAGGAGCCGGCTGTTCAACAGCGCAACTCTGAAACAGAACGAGGATTGGTTTTTTTAAGTACTTAGAGGGTTTTATGGCGCTCGCAACTGCAAAAGGTCATATGAGCGCCAAGGGGTGGGTGTCAACAGAGAAGTCTTTACAGGGAATCAGACTTAGACTGCTCAACAGCACAAGGTCTGCCTCGACTATCAAGGCTCCCCGGAAATAGCAGGTCACAAGAGAGTGACAAACATACAAAAGAAGTAGAGGAAAATGACAATAGTAAGGATCAGGAAAGAAAAAGCAGCAGTTCCCTGTTGTAGATCAGGCACAGTTATGAGCGTGACATGAATCAGCCCATTTACAATTCTACAATGCTTGAACGAGAAATGTCCCCTTGGGAATGGCCTAAAGACACTACAGTCAGTGGCACTGCCCTGGGGGGTAATGAAGATCTACTGACCACAGTGAAGAGACAAAAATTAAAATGGTATGGGAATGTCACAACATCCACAGGACTTGCCAAAACAATCCTACAAGGAGCCGTACAAGGAAAGAGAAAGAGAGGAAGGCAGAGAAGGAGATGGGAGGACAACATCGCAGAGTGGACAGGGAAAACGATGGGTGACAATCTATCAGTGATCAGTACACCCTGGTGTCATTTTGTACCCCCGGGGTTGTATTCTGCACCTTTTAGAATACTTCTAGCGGGAAGATCGCTTTGAAACTTTCCGTATTTTAAATAAAATCATTTTGACAGACTGCTATGCAAAGCGTACGCATCGGATTAACGAGTACATTTCGTCTTTGGAAAGTGGTGGCACAGAGTTCCCAAAACCTACCTGTGGCTGAGTCAACGACACAAAACCTACCTGTGGCTGAGTCAACGACACAAAACCTACCTGTGGCTGAGTCAACGACACAAAACCTACCTGTGGCTGAGTCAATGACACAAAACCTACCTGTGGCCGAGTCAACGACACAAAACCTACCTGTGGCTGAGTACACGACACAAAACCTACCTGTTGCTGAGTACACGACACAAAACCTACCTGTTGCTGAGTACATGACACAAAACCTACCTGTTGCCGAGTACACGACACAAAACCTACCTGTGGCTGAGTACATGACACAAAACCTACGAGACACAAAACCTACCTGTTGCTGAACGACACAAAACCTACCTGTGGCTGAGTCAACGACACAAAACCTACCTGTGGCTGAGTCAACGACACAAAACCTACCTGTGGCTGAGTCAATGACACAAAACCTACCTGTGGCTGAGTCAACGACACAAAACCTACCTGTTGCTGAGTCAACGACACAAAACCTACCTGTTGCTGAACGACAGGTCGCACTTGATGCCCGAGGGGTTGTGTGAGAAACGGATGACTGGACAGCGGCTACTTGGGATGGTCAAGACTTCGGAGTAGTCGCTCTTGTGGGAGGACAGAATCCGGGACAACAGCTTCACCTGGAGACCAAACAAGCACATGGAGATAACATTTTCCCCGGTTTGTACCTCTTTCTCTCATACACACATACGCATGACACACACACAGACCTACACACACAAACACACACGCGCACTCTCACACACACGTACACACACACATACACACACACATGTACACACACACACACACGGTACAAAGAGAAGAGCGTGGACACACACACACACAGACACACATCTCATACACATACACACAAACACACACACTGAGTGGGCCGTGGGACAACAGGCACCGAGACTTGAGACACACAGACAGACACACACACACATAGACACACACACACACACAGACACACACACCCACCAGATCCAGCGAGTCGACTTGGTCCAAGAGCTGCGGGCTGAGTGGACTGTGGGACAGCTGGCACAGAGACTTGAGACACACATACACAGACACACACACACAGACAGACACACACAGACACACATCTCAATCACACACAGACAGACACACACACACACACACACAGACACACACATACACACACACACATCTCATACACACACACACACATCTCATACATACACACACAGACACACACACACACACACACACACACACACACACACCTCATACACACACAGACGCACACACACACACACATACACACACACACAGACACACACAGATACACATACACACACACACACCCACCAGATCCAGCGAGTCAACTTGGTCCAAGAGCTGTGTGCTGAGTGGGCCGTGGGAGAACTGGCACAGAGACTTGAGGTCGCGGTGGTAGGGGAGGGGGATCGGTCGCTGAAACACCACCACAACAACAGCTTTGGTTTTGGGAGTTTATAGTAAGTGTTTTACGGCACTTGCAACACAATAAGGTCATATAAAGGCTTTAGTTTTTAGCTTTAGTTAGTGTTTTACGGCACTTGCAATACAATAAGGTCATATAAGTGCTGAAGATTAGAGGTGTTACAAGAGAGTAACAAACACAAAAAACAAGGAGAGATAAGGACGATAGATGTTTGATAGGAAAGAAGGAGCCAACCACACCAGAGCACCCGTCAACCACCCACAGCTTTGTTTTGTCATAACAACAACAACAACAACAGCAGCTTTGTTTTATCACAACAACAACAGCTTTGTTTTATCACAACAACAACAACAGCAGCTTTGTTTTATCACAACAACAACAACAACAACAACAGCTTTGTTTTATCACAACAACAACAACAGCAGCTTTGTTTTATCACAACAACAGCAACAACAACAGCTTTGTTATTTGCCGCTATGTTTTTGATCTTAAGCATTGACTATGACTATGAGAATGTGGGTGGGTAGGTACAATGAGTTTTTAGTTTCAGTAAAGGTTTTACGGCGCTCACAACTGCATAAGGTCATATGAGCGCCAGAAGATTAGAGCTGTTACAAGAGAGAGAGTAACAAACATAAAAAAGAAGAATTGATAGGAAAGAAGAAGCAAACCACACCAGAGCACCCGCCAACCACCCACAGGTACAATGATATTTCAACATTCAGATGATGGAAGTTTATGAGAAAATGAATACCACTGACCCCATCTATTTGTTAGCGTTTGATTATTCGATTCATTAATTAGTGAATTTTTTTTCTAGCTTTTGTCTCTTGTTCTAGCAAAGTAATAATAATAATGATTATGAAGAGGATCTTTTTTTAGTTTCCTTAATGAGCCTGGTGGACACCACGAAGAAATCTTCGAGCGAGAGCGAGGCTCTTTTTCGGCTCCATTGTCAATATGCTTAGAGGCACCTCCATTCGTCCAAATAACTCCATTCGAATGATGATGATGATGATGATGATGATAACAATGATAACAATGATAACATGATAACAATAAAAAGTATTGATGCTACACATGTCCATCTTGTAAAACTTGCTGTGTGCACATTGCAGTCACAGAGACGTCCCAGTTTAGAATTGCAGGGCGGAAGGAAATGTATTGACACTCCAAGCGAAGCTATACGGGCCGACAGATGAACTGAGCAGGACGGACCAATATCTGATAGATAGCGAACTTCAAGTGTGATGGCTGGCCCAATATCTGATAGATACCTCACTTCTAGTGAGATGGATGGCCCAGTATCTGATAGATACCTTACTTCAAGTGTGATGGATGGCCCAGTATCTGATAGATACCTTACTTCTAGTGAGATGGATGGCCCAGTATCTGATAGATACCTTACTTCAAGTGAGATGGACGGCCCAGCATATGACAGACAGCGGACTTCAAGTGTGATGGACGGCCCAGTCTATGACAGATAGCAGACTTCACATGAGATGGACAGCCCAGTCTATGACAGATAGCAGACTTCACGTGAGATGGACGGCCCAGTCTATGACAGATAGCAGACTTCACGTGTGATGGACAGCCCAGTCTATGACAGATAGCAGACTTCACGTGTGATGGACGGCCCAGTATCTGATAGATACCTTATTTCTAATGAGATGGATGGCCCAGTATCTGATAGATACCTTACTTCTAGTGAGATGGATGGCCCAGTATCTGATAGATACCTTACTTCAAGTGTGATGGATGGCCCAGTATCTGATAGATACCTTACTTCTAGTGAGATGGATGGCCCAGTATCTGATAGATACCTTACTTCAAGTGAGATGGACGGCCCAGCATATGACAGACAGCGGACTTCAAGTGTGATGGACGGCCCAGTCTATGACAGATAGCAGACTTCACATGAGATGGACAGCCCAGTCTATGACAGATAGCAGACTTCACGTGAGATGGACGGCCCAGTCTATGACAGATAGCAGACTTCACGTGTGATGGACAGCCCAGTCTATGACAGATAGCAGACTTCACGTGTGATGGACGGCCCAGTCTATGACAGATAGCAGACTTCACGTGTGATGGACAGCCCAGTCTATGACAGATAGCAGACTTCACGTGTGATGGATGGCCCAGTATCTGATAGATAACTTATTTCTAGTGAGATGGATGGCCCAGTATCTGATAGATACCTTACTTCTAGTGAGATGGATGGCCCAGTATCTGATAGATACCTTACTTCAAGTGAGATGGACGGCCCAGCATATGACAGACAGCGGACTTCAAGTGTGATGGACGGCCCAGTCTATGACAGATAGCAGACTTCACATGAGATGGACAGCCCAGTCTATGACAGATAGCAGACTTCACGTGAGATGGACGGCCCAGTCTATGACAGATAGCAGACTTCACGTGTGATGGACGGCCCAGTCTATGACAGATAGCAGACTTCACGTGCGATGCGATCGAGACAAAGAAGAAGACGGCACCAACAATCTGTGACAAAGGAAAAGTCCCAACACAGCACACGCCACACACTCACCTTGCGCACGGAGGAAGTTGAGGCGTCGCCTTGATTAAGCTCGATGAACAGGTCAAGGTCACAGCCCTGGAGGCCAAATCCATTGAGCGACGATCCAAACTGGTAAATCTGGCAAGCTGTAAGGTAAGGTTGCCAGAGAATACAAGGAGAAAACAGAACCACAGCAAATGTGTTTATTTTGTACGATTATCACCATCATCATTAGTACGGTATTATCATAAAAAATGTATAAATATTATTATTACTAAAATAATAATCATTAATTTAAAAAATCACTGTAGTAATTGTTTTGTATTAGTAGAGGTTTTACGGGGCTCGCAACTGCATACGGTCAAATGAGCGCCAGAAGATTAGAGGTGTCACAAGAGAGTAACAAACACAAAAAAGAAAAAAGGGAGATAAGGACAACAGCTGTTTGATAGAAAAGAAGAAGCAAACCACACCAGAGCACCTTCTCGACCACCCACTCACACAGGTTTGATTTACAGTTCCAAAAAAGAAAAAAAAGAAACAACTCCCAAACTCCAAGAACAGGGGAAAAAAGTGCCGACTCACAGTCGAAGAAAGGAGAGAAGATCGCTGTAAGGTCGGCACAAATCCCTGCCCTCTCCGCTTCATCTTTCGCCGTCAACCTCAACTGCTGCGACAGCCGCGACATCTGATCCTCAACCTGTGAACGTGTCCCACAAAAAAGGAATTGCTTTACAACAAATTGCACCCAAAATTTCACAAACTTGAAAATTGAATGATCAGCTCTACAATCTTATCTATCTGTGAAGTGAAACATGTGCTCTATACATACAACACACCATACATACATGCTGTGCTCTATATATATACAACACACCGTACATACATGCTGTGCTCTATATATATAGAACACACCGTACACACACACTGCGCTACAACACAAAGTACTCACATCGCGCGCAGACATCAGGAGCCCCATGACGTGCTCTCTATATATAACACACAGTACATACATGCTGTGCTCTATATATATACAACACAACGTACATAAATGCTGTGCTCTATATATATATATATATATATATATATATATATATAAAACACACAGTACATACATGCTGTGCTCTCTCTATATATATATATATACAACACAACGTACATACATGCTGTGCTCTCTCTCTCTATATATATATATATATATATATACAAAACAACGTACATACATGCTGTGCTCTATATATATATATATATATATACAAAACAACGTACATACATGCTGTGCTCTACTACACACCATACACACACGCTGCGCTACAACACAGCGTACTCACATCGCGCGCAGACATCAGGAGCCCCATGATGTGTGTCTGAGATCTCAGTTTTTCCTCCTGCTCCTTCTGCTCCTTCTCCTGCTTGACCGTCTGTCTGTCCGGCCGCAGCGTGTACTCCTTCACCGACAGACGGACGCCGCGGCAGACGTGCTCCCTACAGCTCAGCACTTTCCCCGGCGAGCTGGCATCTCGGAACTCCACAAAGGCCTGCGGTGAGACACGGGCGAAATTGTGCAAGATGGCCAGCCATTGGTGAAGAGAAAAGCGGTTGTCTTAGACAGGTGGACGTTTGGACAACGTCATTTTTCATGTGTAAATGAAAATGTAAGAGTGGAAGTGGGAAATGGCCGTTTCTTTTTTAAATATTCTTTTAGTAGAGGTTTTATGGCACTCGCAACTGCATAAGGTCATATGAGCACCAGAAGATTAGAGGGTTTACAAGACAGTAAAAAACATAAAAAAGAAGGAGGGAAGATAAAAACGATAGATGTCTGATTGGAAAGAAGGAGCAAACCACACCAGAGCACCCGCCAACCACCCACAGGAACAATGATATTTCAACATTCAGATGGAAGTTTATGAGAAAATGAATACCACTGACCCCATCTGTTTTTTAGTGTTTGGTTATTTGATTCATTAGTTAGTGATTTCATAAAAAGAAATTCAAATGAAAGCAAATGACCGACTCACCCCAACAGTGGCAAATCGGATGAACTTGATTTTTCCAAACCGGGAGAAATACTCTGTCAGTTTTTCCAGCCTCCCGGGCTCCTTCACACCTGAAAGCACAGGTAAGACAAAAGTGGAGATGGGGAAACTTCTACCGTAGACAGGGCTTTACAGTGCTACACGTACTTCAACATTTTTGTCTGTTCTTGAAAACATTTTTATTTATGTGTTTTTTTTTCCCCAATCTGATAGAATAGCCACTCTCCTCAGTTTCTTTAAATTGCTACCTAGTGGTTAGACTCTCGGACTCGCAACCGTAAGGTCGTGGGTTCGAATCCCGTCAGGGGGCCCAACATTGTGTCCTTGGGAAAGGCACTTTGCCTCACTTCACCCAGGTGGGAATGGGTACCCGGCTATAGACAGCGAAAGATCTTGTCAGTTTGATAGTGTTTGAGCGCTTAATCAGCTGCTTACACTGTATGCTTCCCGGGAAGCTGAGAATGTTTCGGAGTATTCTATTGTCTGCTGTGGTAATAATATAGTGTAAAGCGCATAGAGCCTGCTGTTGAGCGGGGATATGCGCTATACAAATGCTATTTATTATTATTATTACCAGAACTGAATTTGACTTGCAAAATAAAAAACAATCTTTTTCTAGTTGAAGAGCCACATAATTGCTCATATCTTATTAGAAACTAAACACAAGAGCCACAAAATAAAGAGAGGACTTATCCACTATGGTTTTTCTGCAGGTGCCTGTGGCCTGCGGTAGGAAACAATTTATAACAACAAAATATAAACTATAAGGAACAAGAAACAATTGACTTTTTCAGCCTGCTTGAAAGTTCTGCATGAGCATGATGAATATTTGCACACGAAAAGGGCTGACGTTGACGTTAAATATACTTTCCACAACATTACGTTTCATCGAGGCTATGTCAAAGCCTTTCAAAGATGCTTGAGAGGGCAGTCCAATTATCAAATTTCAAAGAAACAAAACCGTGATGTCTTTGGAGCACACAACATTTAGCATACCAGAACAATCTCTATAGTCTATGTTTGTTGAGCCTTGTTATGTTATATGCCGAGACAATAGAATCCTACACTTCTTATTGCACTTATATGTTGGCGTTTATTCTACACAAGGCTTTTGTTGAACCACTGAAGAATTTTCTGCAGATCCTCTTCTGTATGTGAATGTATTTGACAACAATTCCTGCCTGAGTTCCAGCAGTGTGCCTTATTTCCCACGTTCACCGTTATATAAGACCACAAGGGATGGCATCCTGTTGGTTTTCTGTGACGATCACCTCAACAGGAAAACTAGCGAGAACCATCAAATGCTGGAGTGAGAACAGCATGAAACGACTGCTGACGTGTATTTACAGCAGAGAATAAAAATCAAAACATCGTTTCTATTTTAAAAATCCATGCAGTCCCTCTATATGAGATGCACTTGTACATTTCACAAAAATGATAACCTTACCTTGGACATTTTGAATAAACACTCTTCTTGAAGCAGCTTCTTCCAATTTCATGCGTGAAACTTTAGCATTCATGTTGGTTCTGTGTCGCTTCCCTTTGCAATGAGTTTCAAAATCTCCTGTGCAAGGACGCAAAAGATCTTTTAAATCTTGCATCAAAAGGGTCAGTTGAACAATTTATAAACACCACTGAGAATTATGCAGAGACAGAAAAGAGCCCAACATAAGCATTCTGAACTCTGACCCCTTTCCCAACGACAAGTGGCGAAGGAACTGCAACAGTTGTCAGTGCCAGCAAAAGAAAGACCAGCTACTTGTCTGTACAGTGAACAATATTTTTACTGACAGAAGAGGAGCATTAAAATGCTGATAAGTGACTACAGCACAGCAAAAGTTTTAATATATATAAATAACAATTGAATATTACATTGAAAGAACAATGTCTACAAAATTCTGAATTGGTAGATAAGTGAAAGTGGAACATCATTGTATTACAATCAAGGTATGTTTTTCTCATTCTATTTACAGAATGAATTCTACATAAAAAATATGGAATTCAGGTGTGATTAGTGAAAATTGTAAGACTAAGACTAGATGTGTGTGGTTTCAGTGCAGAAGAGAGGTAAAAAATTAAGAGTCCCTTAGAGAAAAGGGGGGGGGGGTGTTTTGTGTAACTCGGGAAAAGTCAGACTAACACTTGCTCCAACACTCAACAAGTCTGGCACATGTCAGTCACCATCTCTCATTCCACTGGGCTAGACACGGACACGCTGACAGATTACACTACAACCTCCAGAACAACAGTTAGTACTTGCCAAAGCCCTTATCACTACACATGGCATTGGGCAGAAGGGCGAGAGCCCAGCTGTTGCTGGATCGATAACAACAACAACTAGCCAAAGCCATCTTCGCTCCCCTAACATTCCCGATGATCCCCCCCCCCCATCGTAAAAAAAACCACACAGCTAAAGCCCACACAGTGCAGCAGGTCCAAAAAAAACCCCCAAAAAAACCTGTCAACAAACAACAGTTAGTCACAATCACAAGTTTCTTGTACTCTTTACAAGTTCAGAAATCTATAATCTATTCTACATGTACACAAGACAACTTGGCGGAGATCAAAATAAAACAACAACTTACCTGCATGTAGTTTGACATCACAGTATTGGCAATATTTCTCCATCGCAGAGACTGGGAACCATGTAGCGGTTCTTGACTTGGGGTTCCAATATGATCACCAAGAACAGACACCGCAAGTTTAATGCTTATTAGATCTATATAGTTTTTACACACTAGATCTACAGGGATAAATTTTTGTGAATATAAAATTTGTAGTAGTAGTAGAGGTTTTTACGGCGCTCGCAACTGCATTAGGTCATATGAGCGCCAGTGAAATTTGTCTGAGGATGGTTGGTAAAAGGTCTGGAAAAAAAAAGAGAAAACACAATGATTTGAAAAGATAAAATGTGATACTTTGATTACTGAAATACATGGTAACATTTGTTCTTCACTTCAAAACGTTAATAAAAAGAACTTAGACAATCTAGTAGAATCTAGCACAGTACTAGTAGACCTAGCCTAGACTAACTAGATCTAACAAAACCAAACTCTTTCCTAATTATAATTATCTAAGCCTTAGTCTTGACTCTGCTGACGGAGAATGAACTCAGTAGAGAGTTATTAATAATGATAACAGAACTGAGCAAAGAAATTAGCATACATACACACATTTCATGAAAAGTGCATATAGGTACGTAAATTATTTGACTCAAAGTACAACAACAACACATTATTACGTGCGTTTGTAGCACATTATTAGACCCAAAGAACAACAATACAATTGTCAATAGCACGTTAATTGAATAGACACTTCATATATTGGTGCGAGTAAATTATCAGTCGTTGATCATCAGCATCATGACTTTGTGGATCCGGACAATCCAGACATGCACACCAAACACGAGGAGAATGTGGATGCGTGCTAAACGAAAATTGTGCAGACAGTTCGGCACATCCAGTAATCTCTTCCCATCTTATCTCCATGAATTTATTTTTCGCTACATTGTTACAAATAAACGCAAAAGTAGTAGATTAAAATGTTATTGTTGTTTAGTTTAGTAAGAGTTTTACGGCACTTGCAACACAAAGGTCATATAATTTTACTGTTGTTTGGGTCTAATAATATAGAATCTAGATCTAGATCTAAGTATTAATGTGTTCTTATTGTTGTACATTGAGTCTAATAATTTACACATTTAAAATGCAGTAAGAGACGCTTTGCAACTTAGATCTAGATTTAGATATATCTAATCTAGATCTAGATCTAGATCTATATCTAGATTTAGGAATTTAGGCTTCTAGATCTAGATCTATAATTTATCGGCCAGTATAATTCAAAGGCCTAGATCTAGATTTCTAGATCTAGATTTCTAGTCTAGCCTTCATTTTATTTCTTCTTATTTCTTCTCTAAAAAAAGAAAGAAAGAAAGATAAACGGCCGATAAAATCTGACCACGCAATTTTAAAAGTCACAAAGAGCTCAACAGACCATTGCTATTATATCAGGATAATGATTAATACTCACTTTAGACTTGTCTAGGCAGTCTTGACTGGCATACTGGCATCAATAGTAACCGTCCAAGTTTCTTCTTGGAAACTGGAAACGTTACAATTTTTTGGGTTTCGTTTTCGGTTCCAGTTATAGTTTTCATATTATAAACCCTCGATTCCGTACAAAATGCACAGTGCTCATTCTTTGAACTCTTTCATTCGCTTTAGGCCTATATAAAAAATTTTAAACAATAGGCCTATTTTTAATTTAACAGAAGAAATTAATTAGACAGGACAAATGAATTGAAACAATAGAAGTACTTAAAACATTTCAGTTACATAATATTGATTCATCTAATCAGTATTCCTGCGATAAACCGCATTGTGGTAAATTCCTCTGGAAAAATAAAAAGCATGAAAAACTTAGAAGGGTATTTAAAAAGGCAAGGATAATAACGTTTTTCTCTCTTTTTTAGCAGACCGCCTGAGCTGAAAAATAAGTGTCGAATCATAATCACTGACGTCTGTTTCGGATTTTGCATTTGAAGAAGTAGAATCAGAGACGTAGCAATGTACAATGATCACCCAGCACCAATGTTTCTGTACGGAATTACGTATTGGGGAAACAAAATGGCAGCGCCCATAGCAGGGGTTTGGGCCAGCTCCCGGTCAAAGACCAATTCACGTTTCTTTGGTTTTCTCTGCCAAAGTTGTTGCAGAAATTACAGTTCCAAAAAAAGTAAAAAGTTAACGAAACGGCAAGGAGATCTACTTGATAACTTGTTTCCTGTCCCTCAAACATCCACGGTCTCGCCCAAGTTGAGAAATAAGTCTGGGGTTACCCCATCTTCAACTTCAACTGCACCAAGTCCAATACCCAAGAAGAAGGATGAGCATAATAGTGGGGTCTCCAACAGTGAGTAAAGTTACTTGTTTCTCGTCTATCTTAGAATTTCTATCTGATCCTCTCAACTCAGGTCTTTCGAAGATAAAGTTGTATTCTTTCTGTATCATAAGAGCCTTTCTTTGAATGTTGTCCAAGTTTGACTTGGTTGGAAGAGTCCAAAAGTTCATCAAGGCCAAGGATTGATTTAACTTGTTAGCCTTCCGGTATTAGATCTAATCTAGAATCTAGATCTAGAATCTAGCGAGAAGTTTGTTACAAAGAAGCTATTCTAAAACCCCGTTTTTTCCCCTTCTTTATCTTTGTAAATAGAATACTGCTATGGCTATAGCGCAATCAGATAAACACGCGAGTCGGTTATAGCGGAATATTGCTGCTGCTGTGCACAGCGCATATAGGCTAGTTATACACCTAAAACCTCTCCAGTTGAGAAACTTGTTGGTGATCTAGCGAAACCAAGGACCTTACAACTCAAGCGAAACAAAGAATGGGAGAGCCCATGTGTGCCAACAATGAAAGTCGGAGCGAATGAGTGGGGAAGATGTGGCATGTGCAGACAAACAACTCATTACGTGATAGGCCAGCTTAGTCTAGATGATCTAGGCCTACCATGCCTCTCACCTCTCCAGTGCGGGGATGGAGAGAGGTCACAGTGCTTTGATGGATGAAGTGAATGTGTGATGTGCGCAGGCAGACGGAACGCACCACAGGGTGGGGTGGGGTGGGGGACAACACGGCAGGCGAGTAAGCCTAGAGCCCTTTCTTTCTGATCGCCAACTCCGAGCTGTCAACATTGCTTGCACTAGAGAAAGAAACCGGATTCGATTTTTGATAAAGTAAGACCTTGAGGTCATGTTGAACAAAGTCAACATCATCAGGGGAGATAACAAAAAGAAATAAACAGAACACCAAACTCGTAGATTAGGCCTACTTTATTGTTTCCCTTGAATTTATTACTGAATCCCTTATAATGAAAAATCCTGCTTTGACGGACGTTTCGCACCTGTCCCCTCCCTCTCGTTATAAGAGGATTCCAGTGTATGATTGAATATTCATTCATTCAGGTAAATTTGGTAAGGCCCTGGTAATTTTATGGTCTTGTTTTCTTTGTTGTATCTTCGGTTATTCTTTGCAGCTTCTAGCCATGCTCTCAAGTTCAAGCAAGTCTTGCAGCAGAGATACAGAGAAGCGCAAAGGAGCGTCATTGTACGGACCCAGTCCCCGGCCTCTACTGTCCAGTCTCTCATGACATACGGTCATCTATCCTCTTCCTTTTACACATCGCAAGATAAGGTTGGTTGTTTTCTTGTCTTATGTGCTGTGAGAAATTGTGAGACATTCAGACAAAATGGAAACTGAAATCTTCCCTGATTTTGGCAGTGAAAATATAAAAACGTCAAATTCATAGGTTGAGTTGACAACTTGTACAATTTATTCTTAAGAAATTTTAAAAGACATGTTAAACTTGAAGAAAAATGACTTCAGTTGAAAATCTACAAATTTGACCACTGTGTTGATTTTCAGTCAATATTGCCATTTGGATGAACTGGTTTAGTTTTCTTTATCAAGGACAGGGTTGTTGATTTTTAAAATTTTGCATAGATAAACTTTCATTTTTATTACAGTGTGTGTGTGTGTGTGTGTGTGTGCGCGCTTGTGTTTGTCTAAAAAGAACAAGAAAATGTTAATTTCAATAATGAAAAAAAAGTAAATTGAATACTGTATTATTTTACAGTTACAGGGGGGAAAGCAGACTTTTAAGCATGATTATATTAGTCTACTAAACCTTATATCTGTTTTATGAAACCAAGGAAAGGAATTCTGAATGTTTAAATATGTAAAAACTGAATACATTTTTTAAAAAGTGATTTAAATCACTGATTTTTATTTTAAAAATCAAGTTGATTAAAATTATAAAAAAATCAACTGATTTAAATAAACCCAGCTCTGATTTCAATTATGGAAATAAAAGTAAATTGAATACTGTATTATTTTACAGTGAAAGGGGGGAAAGCAGACTTTTAAGCATGATTATATTAGTCTACTTAACCTTATATCTGTTTTATGAAACCAAGGAAATGAATTCTGAATGTTAAAATATGTAAAAACTGAATAAAAAATTATTTTTTTAAAAGTGATTTAAATCGTTGATTTTCATTTAAAAAATCAAGTTGATTTAAATTTTAAAAATCAACTGATTTAAATCAACCCTACCCTGATCAAGGAAAAGGGGCAATGTTGTTATTTTTACGAGTGACCAGAACAACAGAACTGAGTTGCTTCTCCTTGGTTTGACAGTTTTTAGGACGGATGGAAGCTTTTGTTTTGCCATGAAAGAATGTATTTTTTCAGTGACTTAAAAATTTTTTTTTATGAAATTACAAGTGTATTGTTCGCTCAAGTAGTTGAGAGGGCTTTTGATCAATGTGTGTATCCTCTTTTTATATATTTGGGAATAACACATTATATTCTTACTAAACTCCTTTCTGATTGATGTGAGCTTTGTGGAAAAAGAGAAAAAGATACCTAATTAATGTAATGATTTGTGTCCAGACTTTACTTTTTACTTTAAAAGTCTCCAAACCAAAATCTCTTTTTAATTAATGTCATGAAAAATGACATGTACAAGATAGAGAAAAGGAGAATGTTCTTTTTAGTTGGTATTTTTTTTAAAACCCTCACTGCACCTTAGATGATATATCTTATTTCAGTGGGTGATAGGCGGGTGCTTTGGTGTGATGTGCTCAATCTTTCCTATCAAACAGCTATCGACGTATCTTTTCTCCTTCTTTTATTTGTATGTTACTTTTCTGCAACGCCTCTAATCTTCGGCCGGCACTCATATGATCTCAATGTGCTGCAAGTGCCCTAGAACTTTTGTTTTATTCAGCTCAACGCTGGTGTTGCCTATCTGCTCAACAAGGAGTCTGAAGAGAGATTCAAACTGATAAGTCACCAATGTTACTCTCAAATTCACAAAAGGTTGAAAACACAATTCACAAATGAGGACATACAAGTTTTGGTCAGATTTCGATCCCAGAATAGCCTTACAATGGTGAGAACCAGTTCATGTATGTGTGTCAACGTATGATATGCTGGCGTCACTCTATATGTTGTACTTTGCTCTCTTTCAGTTGTATGTTTTAGCCGAGTACGCCAATGAACAGAACGTGGGACGACTACAGAGCAGCACGTCGCTGTTCCTGGACCAGCACCAGTTCCCCATGCACTCTCGCTGTTTGTACGACGTGAACAACCCGCGGAACCCGCCGGCCCGCCACTCCAATCAGCCCATGCCCACAGTGAGGGAGGACTTGTGGCATGTGGACTCCATGACCCACTATCCCGTCATGGACACGGTGAGACATTTTCTCCTCGTAAATATAAGGTTTGCATTGGACCGATAACAACAGCAATCTGGATCAATAATAACTGCGTAAAATTTGCTTGAGTTTGAACATTGTTTGCTGAGCCGCCAGGGAAGGATGCTATAGAAGTGATCTTTATTATTATAATTATTATTATTTTTATTATCATTACTATTATTGTTATTATTTTTATCATTATTAAGGAAAGTTGCAACGTCTAGAATAGAGAAGGGGGAAAAAAACCCTCTTCCCTTCCTCTCAGCTACAAGTTTCTGTTTTCTTCCCCGAGCGTGGCTGCAGCGTTGACTCTCCGTCGGTCGTTGAATCGTGTCGGTGTGGTTGTCTCCACAGCTGGATGAAGAATTGAAGGCTTTGTGCGCCAGAAGATCCCTCAACGACCTTGACCTTCGCATCAGGTTTCTGGTCTGCGTCATGGTGGAGGAGATGCTGCAGTCGTTCCTGCCGGGGTCGCGGGTCATCCCGTATGGGTCGTGCCTCAACGGTTTCGGCTGGTGGAACAGCGACCTCGATATGATGCTGTGTCTGAAGAAAGATCCGTACTCTAGCAACGTTGTGGTGAGCTCTTCCTTGTCTAACAAACAAAAGTTATAGGGAGACGTTCCGTGTCTAACTAACAAAAGTTCTAGTGAGATGTTCCTTGTCTAACAAACAAAATTTCTAGTGAGTTCTTCCTTGTCTAACTAACAAAAGTTATGGTGCTCATATGACCTTATGCAGTTGTGAGCGCCGTAAAGCTCTCTTCTAAAACTAAAAACAAAAGTTATAGTGAGATGTTCCTTGTCTAACAATCTAACTAACAAAAGTTATAGTTAGTCTGAGCACTTGTTTTCTAGTTAACCAGGTATTAGTTGTATGTATTAACTGTCTTTTTGTTTGCAAATGCAACTTTGTACATTTTCAGGTATTTTCACAAAAGCCGAGTGGCTTCCATGTTCATTTTTCTAATCTTATCTCCTCTCGGGATGTAGCCTTGTCTAACAAACAAAAGTTCTAGTGAGATGTTCCTTGTCTAACAAACAAAAGTTCTAGTGAGATGTTCCTTGTCTAACAATCTAACAAACAAAAGTTCTAGTGAGATGTTCCTTGTCTAACAATCTAACAAACAAAAGTTCTAGTGAGATGTTCCTTGTCTAACAATCTA